CACAAGAGTAGCGGCTCCAGGAACCATTGCTCCCCTTGATTCTATTGCTCCCCGTGATTCTCTTAGTGGGGTAACTCATTCCAAACCTGGAGTCAGAGCTGTGGCTTTGGAAGGCTCAGTGGGGAGGTAGCTTTCATGTCCAGTCTCCTACTAGCAGCTAAGCCCATGGGAAGTTGTGATTTCTAAGTAAGGTTTGCAGTGGATTGGAGGAAGACTCGTGCTTTTTTGAGCCTTCATCTCACCTGCTTTTGGTACATTGGTCAAGATGCCTTCAGGGGACCTTCTGTCTCTGGCCTTTCTGTATTTTGCTGCTTGTCGTTTTCTGCTTTTCATCCTTAACGTCACTCCCAGACCCTCCAGCATCTTAAACATGAACTTCCATTTGGAGAACCAGCCTGTATGCCAAGAGCCACCCTGCTATGTCTTTGAAGTGTGACAAGTGAAAGAGGGATACAGATGAGGGAATTAAGATCCACAGAAGTGAAGTGACTTGCCCCAGATATATAGCTAGTGGTTGCCATCATCAGAATGACCCCAAGTCCAGAGACCCTGCCCTTCCCACCCTACCAAGGACACACTCTCTCTTCTGATTCTCTGTTCTTCAGCCGTGAAGACAAAAATGAATGCCTTTGATTCTATCTGTTCTTCTCTCACTCTGTTTAGAATAATCCATAGGCTCATTCATGAGATAGAATGCCCACTGTAGGTAAGGCATGCCGCAAGCTGCTCTACAGGGTACAGAAACTCTCAGGGTCATCACTCTCATAAAGCATCCAGTCCGGGGTGGGAGAGGGTGGGGCGGGATGACTCTAGAACCAGAGAGCAAGTGTCCAGTTTCCTAAAAGTAAAATGAGTGCAGAGAAGAGAATGATCATTCCTACAGGGCTATCAGGGAGAGCTTCTTGGAAGAGGTGGTTTCTGTGTTAGCCATTGGGAAACTTGGAATCACAGAAAAAACGCAGGCTTGGGTGGAGCGTGTGAGGGGAATTTCATTCAACCCCCTTCTTTGCCATGTGGTGGAGGCTCAGACGAGGTACTTGGTGCTTCCCCAGGCTGCCCAGACAGTGAGAACAGGTTGACTTTTTGAGGATACTCCGGCCGTTTCCTGAAGGGCTATTGGGCAGGGCGTAGGAGGAGAGGTATAGGCAGACTTAGGTGCCTGGCCAGAACTGTCATCCACATCAACTGCTAACAGAGAGATTGACACAATTCTGAGGCTCCGGTCCCACAAAGGCATAAAGACTATGTGGGCCTCATCTATTGATTTTTCTGGAAGCTCTCCATGCTCATTTGATGAGTGCTAATGGCAGAGGCACACTCAAAGTTATGGTGACCGCAACAGCTCCCCAGCTAAAAGCAGGGGCCTTCCTTGTAAATGAGCATCTTTTGTTCATTCTCGTAGCCCTCTCTTTCTCCTCCCACCTGGCCTGATGCATCATCTGACACTTAAAATACACTCTTAATTAGAAAGTCCTCTTCCCCATCCAGCAACCTGTCTGTGCCAAGGACACTGGGTATATTCCAGAAAGCCTGGGGAATAGGGGTTGGGGAGTGGAAAGATAATTAGATCCAGAGAGAATCTGCTAAGTGACTTCCTGGGGTTCCCAGAGTAAGTCTAGAGAAGTCCGGCTTGGAACTTTCCCAAACACCCAGCTAAAACTTGTGGCACCCCCAGGCAGATGGTGTAATCCAGATCTGTGGTGGCATTGATGAGGGAGAGGGTGGTGTGTGGAGTTAGTGCAAAGGACAGTGAACACCCGGGTGTGATGCACCCTGGATCCTGTCGCCGACCAGTTGACCGTAAACCCGTCTCTTTACATTCTGAAATTTCCGTTTCCTCCCCTGGAAATTTAATATTGCCACCTTGGGAGTGTTACGTGGGTTAAATGAATTAATGCACACACAGACCTTAGCACAGTGCTTGACCTGCCCTTAGTGACTCAGTAGTTTTTACTTATTATTAGCTACTATGCAGGAGTCCCCAGCATCTGCTTATGTTAAGAGACTGCTTTTTTTTAATATTTTAAAATATATTTTAAATATTTTTTTAGTGTTAGAGAAAAACAAACTGAATTGGATCTCAGGAAATTTGTCAATGACTGTATGTAACCTGACAAATGCCTTCCGTGCTCAGGGTCTCAACTCTCTCGCTTGTTAAGGGAAGGAGTTGAAAGTGGTGATCTTGAAAAACTTTTCCAGCTCAGATGTTAAGCATGCCTGTCTTTCTTTGGGAATGAGTGTCAGTGCTCGCCAAGACTCCTGTTAGAGACAGAGGATGAGCTTTGCTTGACCCTCACTTCTTCAGGCCAACTTTCCTGACAAGTCACCACTACTGATCACTTGATGACTGCTAACGGCTGTTGTGCAATCCAATTATGGTGACCGCAGCCGGGGCTATCCTGCTAAAGGAGCATCTTCTATTCATTACTATCTCCCTGTGATTCTCTCTCACCTATGTCATCTCACCCTTAAAATACCCTCTTAATTAGAAGGCCTTCTTCCCCATCTAACAGCTCTGCAAAATCAGAGGTTTTCAGAATTTAATTATCATCATTGGTGGTGGTGGTGTTATTTTATTTAGCTCAAATATTCATTCTTCAAACAACTTTTTTTTTGTATGCTCCATATTCAAAACCAATAAAAATGAAACTGCTTGGGTTACAGCTGTGGTGAGAATCCCCCAGACCCAACTCACCTGCCCGCTCAGGCCCTCAAGCCCTCGCCAGCCCTCGGGGTGGTCCCAGAGGCTGCTTCAGTAACGGCCAGCGTCCCGTAGAGCACAGTCTAGACATCCTGCTAGAAATGTATCAGAGAGACATAACTTACCCCGCTTCTTCCATCCTTTATTTATTCATCTTTCTCTTTTGGGGCCATTTAGGGCTGTATGACAAATGTTCTTATACCTCTCGTGACCGAGGATGGGTCGTGGGCATTCACACCGTCAGTGACCAAGGCAACCGAGACCCACGCTACTTCTTTTCCTTGAAGACAGACCGGGCCCGGCAAGCGACCACGATCAATGCGCACCGCAGCTACCTGCCAGGCCAGTGGGTGTACCTAGCCGCCACCTATGATGGGCGGCTGATGAAGCTCTATGTGAACGGTGCCCAGGTGGCTACCTCTGGGGAGCAGGTGGGTGGCATCTTCAGCCCGCTGACCCAGAAGTGTAAAGTGCTCATGTTGGGAGGCAGCACCCTGAATCACAACTTCCGGGGCTACATCGAGCGCTTCAGCTTGTGGAAGGTGGCCAGGACGCAGCGGGAGGTACTGCTGGACATGGAAGCCCACGGCCTCCACGCTCCTCTACCTCAGCTCCTCCTCCAGGAGAGCTGGGACAATGTGAAGCGCACGTGGTCCCCCATGAAGGATGGCAACAGCCCCCAAGTGGAATTCAGCGGCGCCCACAGCTTCCTGCTGGACACGAGCTTGGAGCCCCCTCTGTGCGGGCAGACGTTGTGTGACAACGCAGAAGTCATCGCCAGCTACAACCAGCTGCCACGTTTCCGCCGGCCCAAGGCGGTGCGGTACCGCGTGGTCAACCTCTACGACGACAGCCACGAGAACCCCACCGTGAGCCGCCAGCAGATCGACATGCAGCATCAGCAGCTGGCCGAGGCCTTCAAGCACTACAACATCTCCTGGGAGCTGGAGGTGCTGGAGGTAAGCAACTCCTCTCTGCGTCGCCGCCTCATCCTGGCCAACTGCGACATCGGCAAAATCGGGGACGAGAACTGTGACCCCGAGTGCAACCACACGCTGACTGGCCACGACGGTGGGGACTGCCGCCATCTGCGCCACCCCGCCTTCATGAAGAAGCAGCAGAATGGGGTGTGTGACATGGACTGCAACTACGAACGGTTCAATTTTGATGGCGGAGAGTGCTGTGACCCGGACATCACTGACGTCACCAAGACCTGCTTCGATCCAGACTCTCCGCACAGGTAAGACCTGCTGGGCAGATGATGCCCAGTCAAGAGCTGAACTTGTCCCCCATTTTATAGGCAAGTCACCAGAGGCCCATAGGGGTTACGGGAATTTTCCAGTTCGCACAGCAGCTTTGTGATGGAGGCCAGTCTGTTACATAATCGTGGGGGCCATGTGCAAGCATAGGCCATCACAAAAATATTTATTGAGTGCCTACCCTGAGCTAAGAAGGGAAACTCAGAACCCTGTCTTCTCAAACAGCTCAGAGTCTAAATTGGGTGACAGGAGCTGAGCACAAATAGCTGTTGAAACATATGCAGTGGAGAGGGTCAGAGTTGTGCTATCCAATACGTGGTCCCTAGCCACATGTCACTATGTACATTAAAATTAGTTAAGATTACATAAAAATGAAATTCCAGTTGCTAAGCCACACTAGCTGCATTTCAAGTACACAGTGGCCACATGGGGCTAATGACAACAATACTGGATGGAGCAATGTGGCCTGTTGGACAGTGCAGGTAACGCTGGGGTCACCTGGGATGGGACAGCCTGGGCTCAGCCCTCGGGGATACTGTGTCCTCACTTTGTGACCTCTTAGAAACTATTGCCTCATATGTAAAATGGCGATGATGATGGCACCTGTTTCGTCCGGCTACTCTGAGGGTTGAGAGTGACGGAGGGCATGGAAAGCACAGTCTCCCTAGTGGCTAGCAGGTCATTAACTCCCAATAAGAGTATTTGTCATTATTTGTATAATGAAAGGTAGCATGTGCTGTATAAAGGGAGTGCCCTGGGAGATGAAAGAGAAAAGACTTGCAGCTTGAGTATCTTGAGTGGGAGACTTAGGTACAATTGGGACATCAGATATTGGGTTGGGGGAGAATGGAAGACCCTTGAGGCCGAGGAACTTCTTTGTGTCCTGCTGAGAAGAGGGCATAAAGGGGGATCTTCCGGCTAATGCCCCCCTTAGCTCTGCCTTGTGCTGTCAACTCTAACCAGGAACCCCAAACTAAAACCCAAAGGTGAGCCCATGGGCAATGTATATTCGATGTGGGACCTGGAGGAACTAGTTCCAAGCCAGAGAGAGAGTTAGCAGCCACTTCCCTAATGTCCCAGATTCACGCCGAACTTTTCCATTCTACCCAACACATCGGACCCTGGACTTGCTGATAGCCGGAGCGTATTTGCAGACCTCTGCAGGTTTTCTGCTGACTCTCCTCTTTATGTCTCTCTCCAAAGAGCAAGGGCCTCCCATGCACAGACAGAATACCTATGTGCAAAGGAATGACGGTGCTGGCAAGAGAATGTCGTGCCTGGCAGGGAGCCAGACAGCACGTCAGCTCAGCCTCCTGGCACCAGGCTGGCCCCGGGACTCTCACCTTGGCTCAGACACATGAACAGCCCATGTGGGAAGGAGCCATGGTGTGTGGCCAGTTCCTTCCAGGTCACACTGCCCTTTCATCTCTGCTCTCATTTGGGCTTTGACAGGATGTGGCAAGGAAGACAAGATAGGGGTTAATATTTGCATTTGATGGACAGGGAAATAGAGGGCCTTCGAGAGAAAAATCATGGTCATGGGTCAGGAAAGTCATTTGGTTAAATCACCAATATAGGTCTTCCGAGGTTAATGCAATGTGTGTTCTGCTGAACTGGACTCTCAACAGTTACCAGTGTGCCCAGGCAGAGTGGGCATGGGGGAGGACAAATAGCTTGAAGTCATTCACCCATTTGTCATTCATTCATTCATTCATTCTTTTATTCATCCATTCATGCAACATGTTTATTCAGCACCTACCAAGTGTCAGGAAGGTTGGTACTGGGACCTCTATTTTGCTAAGGAAATCCAGGATTCGGACTGATGAGCTGATTTACCCAAGGTCACTCAGCTAACAAATGGAAAACTTGGATTTGAATCCAGGTCTGTTGACTCCAGAGCTCCCACTGAAGGCGGATATTTTTGAGTGGAAGGCACAATAAGAGGCAGAGTTAAAGGACAGAGGTGATAGGCAGGGTGGTTTTCAGAAAGCCTTGGCAGAAAACTTATGAGTCTGATTGGGTCAGGACCAAGGGCAGCTGGCCTCTGTGACGGGGGCCCTGTGCTGGTGTGGAGGGGCTGTGGGGCCTCAGATCCGAGATACCTCACGATCAGCAGACAGAGCTGGCAGGCCCCAGCGGCCTCCCTCTTTTCTAAGTCATGGGACTGCGTGCCCAGAATGGCTGTGAGCGGCCCTGGGCCAGTGCTGTGACCTCTCACGCCAGGGCCTGTTTGTTTGCTGGCTGGGAAAGTCGTGTGCCCTGGGTGAGTCCCCCCAGGCCACGTGTCACCTCCTGATGGGGTTGGGGGTGACAGCATTCTAGCAGCGTCAGCTGGCTGTGTGCAGAGAGAAACCTGTGGAACTTTGTAGAGAAGTATTTGCTTTTTGAATTGAAAAAAAGAAAAAAATGGGAGGGAGGGGAGGAGGGAGGAAGACACGAGAGAAAGAAGGAAAGAAGGTAGGCACCTGTGATAGAAGCAGCAAAAATTAGATTGACATTATCTAGGTGATTTTTAATACAGAGCTGAACTTTATTCTCACCCAGGGTGTTTCTCTGTGTGTGTGTCTCTCTGTCTCTCTCCATTCTCTCTCTCTTTTTTTGTTTTCTTAATGGGTAAAGACAGTAAAGATAATATTTAAATGACTGGTTTTCAATTTATGGTGAAGTACCAGGTTTTTTCCTCCTATACATTGCAAACCAATACCTTTAGACTATACAGCAAAAATGAATTGATATAAAACGAAATACCAGGAGACCAGTGAAGCAGTGTCAGGGTTCTATGAAAGCTTCTTGAGTAAAATGATACCCACCAGTCATGCAGCTGGGTACATTGGCAGATGCCATCAGAGAAGCGCCATTTCTTTTAACACGTTTACACTCATTCTTTATCTAATAAACCTTGGGCCCTTTAGTCACATTCTCAAGAATTCTTATGTTATAGGAGAGCACTCTGTCCGAGCAGATCTGGGGCTGCAGAAGACATCGAAGTGGTGTCAAATGTCAGACCTGGAAACATCTTTGAAGGTCACTGGGTCCCTAGAGGGAAATGGAGGACAAAGCTCACACAGTCCCTCAGTGGTCAAACTAGGGTTAAGAGCGCTCTAGCTTTCTATGTCCTAGTTGTCCCCTATGGCGTGGCTTCCTAGCACCGCACTGACATCCTTGCAGGTCACAGGTACCTACCCCTCGCGTTCTGTCCTAGCTCTATTCTTTTTCCCTGCTGTCCTCAAGAGCTTGGGATTATATAGTGCTGAATAAGTGACTTTGGAAGAGAATCTCTCCGTGAGCCACTGAAGAACTATTATATTATTGCCACACTGGCAGTGAGTTTTCCTGATTAAGAGGCCATGATAAGGACAGCCAACTGAGGTCTGCACAAAGAGGGGGACTGGGACAGACGGTGAGGGGGCCAGGAACAGTATCATGTAATCATTTGAAGATGTTTGGCCGGAGGAGAAAACCCTCCCAAGGCCATGACCGCGGGGCCATGGCACATGCGCTTCAAGTATCAGAAGGCGTGTCCTGTGGATAAGGGGGCAGAATTATTCTATACGGTTTCTAAGCCGTGGCTGGGACCAGAGTGTGGCAATGACAGGAGGCGGCTTGGAACTGAGTGACAGATAATGTCATCCCTAATCAGAATGGTCCTCCTGGGCAAGTGCTGCTCTGCAGGGATGTGAGCGCCCCCTCGCTGGAGGCATGCGCAGTGAGGTCGTCGCCAGGATTACGGCAATGGTAGAGAAGGCGGCTTGGATGGGCTTGGAAGTGAGCACTACACAGCCCAGCTTCTGGATGATATCTTATTTCAGATCATTTTCGGGAACCAAATGGTGACTTTCTATCCTGTTTAACAGGCATTTATTGGGCACGGCTACCCCTGCCGACCTCCCTGCTGCTCACTGGGCGCATTGAAATGAGTGGAACATGTTTCTCACCGTTGAGGGGCTACCACTTACGTAAGGGAGTCCTATTCAAACATAAGAAACTCTGCTCTGTGGTTTTAGTGACACGCAGTGGGGGCAGGAGACCTAAAAAGCAGAGATTTATTCTTCTGAAGAAACAAGGTAAGTTGGCTGGGGCAGGCGTTGAGAGGCAGAGGTGCAGCCTGCGTCAGCCAGGGACCTGGCAGGAAAGAGACGGCATGTTCAAAAGAACAATTAAGGAGAGTTGCAGGAGGGGCTTTTGGGAAGGAGAAGCTGTTTGGAACAGTGTAGGCAGGGTTTAGGACCACCACCAAGGCCAGGGCCAGCAATTAGGGGAGCCGTTTCTGTCCTTGGCCTATAGAGGCAAGAGAAGGGAGTGGAGACAGAACCCAAAGAGAGTGGCTGTGAGGAGAGGGCTCCCTGGCACCTGCGACTCTCAGTCGAGAGGAGTAGCCCTCTGACCCTCGCTGGCCAGAAGGGAGCCAGACGATTAATGTCTACATACCACTGTGTTTTGCCTTCTAGTCTCCTGCCAGTGCTTCTCATTGGGGAGCCAGACTGGTAACCACAAGGCAAAGGACCTGTTTCTGCAACTCCAAGAGGCCAGCCTCTCAAGAGCACAGAGCAGGGTGAAGAGGGGTTGAAAGTGGATGTGGATAGGCACACGGTACATGTGCCGAACACAGAGAAAGCCAGCCCATGCAGAGGGTCTGGCATGAGAAGGGGGGGGGGGGGGGAGTCGGGGAGGAACGGAGTGGAGGGTAAGGAGTCCCTCGGCTGGATCCGACCAGAGGCAGAGAAAGGTGTAGTTCATCTCATGAGAAACTCTAACATCAGGCTAAATCCTTCCTTCTTGCCTGTCTCCCTTGCTTTACTTCCTCCTTCTTTCCTTCCTTTCTTCCTTCATTTCCGTCTTTTCTTCCTCCCTCCCTTTCTTTTTTTCTTCTGTCAGTAAATATTTGTTGAATGCTCCCCCTGTGCCAGCCCAGTCCCTGCCTGTTGGGAGCTCAGCATCTAGTGGATAAAGACAGTCAAGTTAAAAGGCCATTGCAATCACA